AATGGTTCGGAGGGAGGACATTTCATTTTCCACTTTGTGCAGACGTGTTCTGAGAATTTCCTGGTTTTCAGGATCTGAGATCCTATTCTTGGCTGTGACAGGCGTGTTTCCAGGTTGATGAGACGAAGATATGTCAGTTAGTACTACTAAACAATCCGAGATTGCTTGGAGTACCGCCTTTGCCTTCCTCGAAAGGTGAGGGATGGTGGGAGCTTGGAGTTTTGACTGAGAGGCGCCTCTTTGAACATACCGGAGAAATAGATGATAGGAATTCGGGATCGAGCAACCGCTCTAAGGAGGAAGAAGCGAGCGGTGTCACAATGAGATACTTCGGAAAACGTTGAGGGATACCTGATTTGGGGGAATACGGTTGACAGAGTTCTAAGGTAGTAAGAAAATGCTGAATGGTATTACGAGGGTCACGGTCAGTCCTAAATACCTATGTGGGCTGGTAGTTCAGATAAGACTACGGAAGCGTGTGACAGTGGCAACACTTCGACAAGAATCATTATGTAGGTAAGGACTAAACGCTCTTGATCAGCTGCGGACTAGTACTGACAAGATTAGGCCTAATGAAGAAGGGAGACCTGTTAGTCTTAATGATCGCAACTAATTGGGGGACCGCCCTAGACAAATATTTACCCAGCACAAAACACCTTTAAGGATCTATGGATGGATTAAAATCAAGAAACAGTTTCTACAACACCTGACCTTGAACTTTCAGTTTCGCGCTTCCCAATCCAGCCTAGAGGTTGTGATCTCGAGGTGGATTTCACCTTTAAGCCTTCATTGTCTACTTAGTAAATAGCCGGTGGAAATTTCACATATTCTGGGTTTTCTGTACCTACGAGGTTTGCCTCTACCGATCACAACTGCTGTTGTTAGGCCGTGGGCCCACCACAATTGAGTAAAAGCACTAGAACCGGGTCGCGGCAAACTGAATAGCAGTGCTTTCAACAGAGCAAGAGACCGAGGTTACCATCAGAATGATGGCACGTTTAAGATCGGAGGGGTTGTCGCCAAGAAAAAGGTTGTTTGGCACTTTCCCCCAGAGCCGATACAGCCAAGTTTAGTGCATCCAAAAAGCGGCCCTTTTATATGCGTTTCATTTTTAGGCGAGCATTTGAATGTCACTGTGCTATCCAAACTTCCCTCGTACGGTAGTTGGAGAGGAGTTGTGTCTTAGATTGTCTTGAGGCTTCGCTTGCCTCATCTTCTGCGCAACCATTATGTATGAAACGATTTCAAATCAGGCATTTTATGGGCACCATTCACGGGGACTTTCCCAGTGTTATTGGCATGATGCCTCTGAAATCAAACACCATACGATTGCCAAGAGGCACCCAAGATTACAGTTAAAAAGAGAATGTAGAAGAAAACAACAACACCTGCAGTAAGTGGACGTTAAACCCAGCGCACGGAGTACCCTGAACTTAGGTAAATTGTGTAAGGGTCTGCATGGAAACTCTGGTTATGAATGCTACCAATTTTGGAAGAATTTTGGTCGAGCGCATTGTTTTTTATCAGCCATTGAAATTAAACTGATGGTTCTTCTTGTTATGTAAACGAATCTCCACAAAGCTTTCCCGCATGGTTTTTGCTAGATAGCATACGCATTTTCAAATTATTTTTGGATAACTTAACCCGACGTATCCTTACATAAGGTTGCGTCATCCTTCGGGTGCTTTGAGGAAAACCCTTTATCACAGTCTTATAACCGCCTGCATTGGCGGTGGGGTTGATGAAATGGCCGTCCCTAATATTCTGATTCTTCATCAATGCTAATCTGAGATCCCTCTCGACCCATCTAACTCCCCCCATCAAATAAATTTCCATTCAGGCCGGCCCTCAAATACCTCTATTCCACTCGACCATTGCATTCCCTTTTTAACCTTTCCTGCACCTAGGTCATTCCACCTACATTTCACAAGGCCTGTAACAGAAAACAAATGTTTGAAGCACCTTCCACACTTATTCTCAGGAACTGCCTAAAAGCTTTGTTCAAGGTAACACAAGTTGAATAATGCAGCGTCGACTTTATGTTGCAATGAAACCACTACATCACCCTGTGCAAAGTCTTAATATGTCTGAGGTCTCCGGGGGCTCACACTTCGCACTTGTTTATTAGCAATTTGAATCTCATGCCCAACTGCTAAGAAGTACTCTACATAACTTCGAAGTTTCTTCAGCTTTCTTGTGCCAGCTAGATAATTTTGTGATATTCTATTCTCAACCGTTTTCAACTCTTCCTCGTCCTTTCTTCCGTTAGCTAAGCGGAATTAGCTGTGTACATAGAGGTCCGGAGCTGGGCCCGTCGATTTGGGACACTAATGACAGCTGATTGGCTTTCGTCCTCCGACAATCGCTTCGAGAACCATCACCCTGCTCTCTATCTCTGTCAAACGTCATGACCACAATGTCACCTCACTCCTCTTTTAGGGAGTCGATAAGTTCAAACCATGTATTATTCGTCGGATCAACCTCCCAGAGAAACACCTCAGAGCCAGGAGACCTAGCTAATGATCCATCAGCAATCCGAATGACCATCAATCTCTGACTGCTTGTACTCGCTAGAATCTAAGCCACTTTCAAATGAATGGCTGACTTCGCTATCCCTTGCCAGATATTGCACCGGTCCAAATGGACAACACCAATCTTAGAGCGCACGTAGACAACTAAAACAATCGAATTGCCACTTTTGAACCCAAATCGTCGTAGGTGTTCTAGACTGTAATACGCTAGTCTCCCTGACACCCTTGTGCCAGAAATCCATCGATGGATGGTGTTTCAGTACCGTACTCCAGTTCGCAGCAGCTGGATTTGGTTCTGGTGCACAAAAGTAGCTGTGCCAGAGGTATCTGGTGTGCCCCGCAGATCAAAATTATCTGTGTTGTTTGATGATACCGCCTTTCGGGGAAAAACGTGAAACCCACCGTCCACTGTTTTGCACGACATTCGCAGATCCACTCATAGGATCCGTACAGTCAAAAATAAGATGGTTTGCATGCGACTGTGGTTAAACTGCACATAATGCGCCCCTAGATATGTAGATCTGCCACTCCACGCTAAGAAGTTTAACTTCTTCACTCTCTAGGTGGTACATCCTTCATTGCCTTCTTCACTATCCCTGCCGGCCTTCACATGCTCGGATTTTACAGAAGCTTCACACCGCAGTACTACAAAAATCTCCACCCTACGACGTACCCTTAATCTCCTCAAGGATCAGATTCCGCATACTATCATCTTTGACCTTGTCGAGCATCTGGCCATCTCTGGCAGTGTTGAACTTGACATAGTATCCACAAACTCTTAATTTTCGCCATTGACGTGTCCCACGTTGGTCCTCATTCTACTGCTTAGAACAAATTGTGTAGGTGATCACATCAACTTGCGCTTGGAAGGTGTTTCAATGAGACGCGCTGAAGCACAGCGGTGGGCTTTGTTGCCTTTACGGCACCCGTGCAGTCGAATCTCCTGCAGGTGGCCAAGTCCTAACGGGGATGTGCAAGTGTTTTTGTGGAGCGTCAGACAGATAAACAGGGGGAGATCTGGTGGTCGTTGGCTTGTTCGCTGAGCAGGGTAATTTGATTGCAAACGTTTCATTACCAATCGAGGTGACATTATCAGTGCGTTATTGGGGAGCGTAGCAGTGCGTAGCGGTGGCTTAGTAGTTGTGCCTAGCTCAGCGAACAAGCCAACTACCACCATCTACGCTACCTGAGCTACCGACATTTTCCTCCATGGAAAAGGGGGAGATCCGGCGCATACGGTCACTCAGGTAGTCAGAACGGTTGCGGTGTACGAAAACTGATGAAAAGTGTCGGATTATTACGCGAACGGAGCGAGCGTCTGTACAACGAATCCGCCGCATATGTGTATAAATAGGATTTTGTTCTGTTTTAATTCAACGGTGGAATTTTCTTTTGTAAGAGATGCTTGCACTTCGAACCACTCCTTCAGGCCAACGATTACCCTGCCCCCAAAGGATGCATTATTTCGTAAAATTCAGTTTGTTCTACTGACGTTTATACAGTCCAGCAAGACTAAAAATTTGTGAAAACCTGCCTCGAGTCGCGAGCCCTGTAACATAGCACCTACATGATAGATTAGGCACCCTATCATATAATGGGCGTCAAAAGGGAGTTGGAACTAAGAGTCAAGACATCCCCTGTTGAACATAACACACCCTTTGCAGCAATCGGCCACTGGCGGGGTCCACCTCATGCGTGTGTTCCGGATAAATTATTTGTGCCTTAGTAGTTGTGCGTGGGTCAATTTTGGACAGCGATGAAGGCTCATCCGTGAATGACAAAGCGTTGCTTATATCTTCATAGCCGAAAACCTGCCATATGTACGGTGCTAAGTAATCAGAATGGTGAAATCTTCTGTAAAGAAATCTGCCAGACAATAAATTGACAACCTACCTGAAAGGTTTGTGCTTCGTGACCACCGTAAATAACCGATTGTTCGGCATGTATCAGTAGTGCCGTAAAGCCAAATGGACGATCATTAGCTCACGGATGAAACCCCCGAAGGGTTACCTCACTGGTATCGGGGGACTGAAGTGCTGTGGTGATATTCTTCAGTAATTTAGTGCGGAAAAACAATCGCGGCCACGCCAGAAGTTTTCGGTCACCCGCAAACGATATGCTCAGGAGACAAAGACTGTATGTTAGACAGTCTGGCGGGTGATGCTTGTGAAAGTAAAGTTCTTCGTACTGTTCAGGGAATTCTCTTGGGAGTTGCCTAATTGGAACATAGTTTAGAATAACAACTAGAGATGTAAGACGGTAAGATCATCAGCGCAGTTGTGCAGGGGAAACTGGTTTTGTATCGACTGTAATGGCTCTGAACTTTGGATGCAGGGGCTGATAAGTGTAGTGCATACATGATAGCCTGAGGAGAACAAGTGCGCACGATGGACAAGCATTTTGTTGCATTGTCTGTTTACCCAAAAAACGTTACCTGCTGCTTACACGCCAAAAGACAGTATATCTCACATGTTAAAGGAAAAAGACGCCTTGAAATTCGGGTTGTGGACACCAAAGACCTTAGATATTGTCACGATTGTTGGGGCTACCAACGCTCATGCACGTGGACTTGGTACCGCCGGGGCCCAGTTGGATAGTGGTCTAGGGTTGGAGTTAACAAGCATGGATGAAGGTGAAAACCTGCTTACCAAACGTTTCTTCTGTGCAGCACAAACTGGTGGAACGCCCGAACCCACAATGCTCTCCTACGTGTTATTTAACCTTCAACTTATGGAGACTACGTCACCAGTGGTTGTGGGTGCCGTGGGTCAGTTACCAACTTTGACTCGAGCTGTATTACTGCTGTTTCATCCAGAAAACCGTTCGGCAGGGATCAAGTACAGTAAGGCGCATTTGGCCTTCCGCTGAGTGCGAGTACAACACCGGAGATACCGAAATCCGTTTCATCAGGTTCAACAGATTTACGAAGGATGCAATGTGGAACAGGTGATCTCTTCTAAACAAGGCTTGATGTAAACGACCGGGGTAGAAGGCTAAGTTATGGAGACAGCATAGATCGACAAGAACGGAAAGTAAGGTTCCAAACAGAGATGCCTGCTGATCAGTTTGAAATCGAAGCCTGACATCGAAGCCTGCAATGTGAATTCGATCTTTTGAGGCTGATAAGGGATTAACAAGGAAGATTTGCTTGGAAGCTAGTGGAGAGGTTGATTGCTCTGCGTTAGCTGATGAGCCGAGTGAGATGATGGCGGTCAGCAGAGGGCTGACAGAGCGAATGTTTTTGCCCGGTCGACCACCTCGAAACAGGAGCATCTTTGCTACAGTGACATCAATAGACTCAGCGGTTTAACCAAAAACTTAGCTACATCTCACATGTCGAAACCAGTCACGTGGTCGTTCCGAACGGACCGCTTCACGTCATCTCCTACTAGTAGCCAGTAGACTACCGTAATCGATCCATCGGTGTTGCTTAAAGTAGTAGCAATACAAATGCGCATTCTGGTATTGTGCTGGCAAGGTATGATTGGTACGAGCACCGACTCGGCCTTGGTCGTGTGACATGAGCTGATCGATTCAGTGGTTCAACGGCTCTCTGAACAACCCAGCAGCATCCACGTAAATGTGATTTTTGGGTACTGCGTCACCCGACTGTCCGTGTTTTCAGGTTGTCCGGTGTAGTAACCAACCTCAGCAGTTTGTTTCATTATTTATCCCTAATTTAACCACTAGATATTTACTGACGTGACGACGGGATCCCAAAATTATCAACATTGGTCATCGGGTTCCTGCTGAATGTTGCTTTCTTCTTGTCCAATCCATTTGAAGGATCCCGAAGCAGCCACTATTCTCCCTGATTTGGATGGTGAAACGCCACGAAATGTACAGTGATCATTCAAGGTGTATTTGTGCATCCTGCACGGAAGCTTGGCAAGCACACCTTGCAGACCACGGTGCACATGCGGTCATAAAGATGTAGTCGTGGAGACGCACGCGGCCAGACAGGCATCGGGAAAGCACATTTACAGAACAAACGTTCATATTATGGACGCAGAATTGTTCAGAGCTCTTTTAGGTCGTCCGGCTCTAGTAACTTGATGGTTATCGGGTCTGCCATTATACAGTCCAACTTGATGCAGCTAAATGTGGGTACTCCTTTGATAATAGGGTCTTCATTCAACGTGTAACATTATTCAGGAGATTTTGTATGACTTTTCTACAGCCCACGACTTGTCGCGTGTGCATTTCTGAATGATGGATACCAAGATAGGTGTAAGAGAGTGAGAGCCATCGAGGAGTTCCCAGCAAAATCAAGAGTAGTATTCTCATGAGCATGTACAACGCGACTTCTGGAATAGTGTACCGATTGAAATATTATTGCGTTCAGTTAAACATTATCACAAACAGGAGGTTCAACTGCGATTCAGCGTAAACTCTCCCTTTGTGAGACCAAATGAGTCTGAAAATGAGTATTATTCCGACTATCTCTGTTAATATCCTCACAACAAATGCCAAACACAGACCACCTTGACATGGATTTGCTGTGGCCATAAAGAAAAGGTGAAGCCTTTGTGACGGCGTTTTGAAGGTTCAAGCAATGGGGACGCACTTGCGGCTAAATGTACAGGGGGTGTGGACGACAGAGCGGATATTCTTTCCAGATAATTTTTGTGCTGGATATTCAGTAGTCTCATTGCACATACGGATCAAACCAACGCACGGATTTTCCCATCGTAAAGGATGCATCTGTCTATCAACTGATTGACTGTCCGCAGAATGACACCTCACCTTGATGAGTGCTTTTATGTACATTTTTGTGAATCGGAGGGTTGCAGCTGTTTGGTCGTGAATGACGCGTTTGTTCTGTCAAAATGTTCCAAGCAGGTTTTACAAGAAATTACATTCAGTGGTTCAATCAGCGGTAAACGAATCAGTTTCTTTTGTTACCCTCATTCTAACGCCTGTCATTTGACATATATTTAACGACTTTGAAAACTTATCACGGCCTCACTCTGATTATTCACTGTGTAAAAGAGAGATTCAGTTGGGAATCACCCGAGTCTCTTATCCAGGCTAAATTAATGTGCAAAAGGGAGTTTATAAAATATTATCTGTGCATTGTTCTGATGCTTTTGTAAAGCACACCTCACAAGCCTAACTTAGGCCGAATATTTTATAGACGGGTGTTCAATATGATCGAGTGATACCCGATGCGGATTGGCTGGACAACACTGATTTCGATGTAAACTACAAGGAACAAAATCGACCAACAAACGTGCAAAGGCCTTCTGATAGCAGTCGGCTTGTATAAGGGTGCTAGGGTACTCCATGAGTGCAAACTGTTAACTTTATTATTCTAGGCTCTGCTGGTGAACAGCAAAGTGCATTGAGTAGCATATGAACTATTGATTTTCTAGAAACGTCGGTCCATCGATCAACAATACCGAGCGCACACGATGGTGAGGAAATCATACAAGTTACATTTTACCAGTCTCAAACCACAGTGACCTCTTAAGTCGGTTTATGAAAATGCCAACGGTTATTTTGGCCTCTTAGTTGCTGTTTTGGAAGAAAGTAGTATGTTAAAAGAGCTAAGCGCCAATACGTACTATTGGTCAATTGCGGTCAGTGAGGGTGAGGCTGTATACCATAACTTATATCCTGGATGTCTAGCAGTAAGTAGGTTGACACTAACTAATTAATCAAGCGTAAAAATAGCAGGATGAATTGGTTATGCACTTGGCGTAAGGTTGCTGAAAATTTTTCGATAGCCCACGAATGGTTTCGCCCTTCTGCTCTGGGCTCATCAGGTAGGCGCAGTCCCCGAGTTTCCGTCAACCTTATGTTCCACTTGAACTCAAATAGTACGGAATCAGCGAAACTCATTCATTTGCAAACTAATTTGGCTTTTCGAGGGACTTGCCTGGAACTCGACTGAAGCTCCCGTTTGTGATGTTTTTACAAGCATCATAAGAGTGACAGAAGGTCGAGGACTGCGCCTAACTGACGAGCTCCAAGAAGGGCGAAACTGCTCGTGGGCTGTCATAGCGTTTTCAGCAGCCTTATGAGTAGTGTATTATGTCTATACATGTATCGCGATATACCGAGTATCATACCAACTGAAACATGGGACGGCCTGGTGTAGCACATCCAGTTTCTCAAAGGCATCATAAACGAGGATGAATTCGATCGATGTACGCATCAGACACAACCATAATGACGAGTTCCAATGGCCCGGTTAACTAGAAGCTAGTGGATTACAGAAGCATATCAGCTTGGTCTTCATGAGAGATTCGACTGAATTTCCTATTTGTGATATTCCATCTATTATTACCCAGACCCAACTTGTGTTTTACAGCACGTCTACACTACATAACCCTGTTCTAAATATCTGACTGCGTTTCAGCGGCCCACCGATTGATTTTTTTTTATCACCATCGTCTACGCTGATGTTCCACTTGAGAAGTAATTCGGAATTTAAATTGTGCACCAAGTTGATTTAATGTTCGGCACTTTTTCGCTCCACTAGGGGGAACGGAAAAATGCGACAGCATAAATCACTCCCAGTCCGTCGGGACTTAATCACGTCTTGTGCATTCAAGTTACTTTTAGTTGTTCAAGACAGAATAGTGGCGGGAAAATCACACGCACGGGCTTTTCTACCTTGACGGATTCGACGATAGCATCGAAAGAATGCTATCTAGGCGTTTCTGCACGATCTTTTTTCAAAAGCCAGAACAAGTGTGTAATTTCTTTCCCCATCATATTCTGCTTTTGAACGGATCCCTTTTGTGTCACACAGCTTCTGTCAGACACACACCGCGTCATTACTTCTGTCAACCATCTTCTCTGAGTGTGGCAGATAAACCACGTTCCCACATATCTTGGTTCCGAACAGAAACCGCGCTTTCGATAGAAATCATTTTTTCGCCCCTGACAGATGTTATCATCGGATAGATCGGTAAAAAAACAAACCGCAATGATTGATAAACACACTTATTTGCGAATCAATTTGGTTTTCACGAGAGACTCAGCTGAATCTCTCGTTTATGATATTCTACGACTGAAAGTCCTGCTCACAGGCCGCCTCATGTTTCAGTGGGCACGATATTCGAGATATCGTAAAGGAATATCATAAATGAGAGATTCAGTTGTGTCTGTTGTGAAAACCAAATTTATTTGCAAATGAGTGCATTACTGGAAAACAATCCAATTTGGGTTCAAGTAGAACATACGGTTGACGGAAACTCGGGGACTGCGCGTCTACCTGATGAGCCCAGAGCAGAAGAGCGAAACGGGTCGTGGGCTGTAAAAGAGTTTTCAGCAACCTTGTGAGTAGTGATATCTGCAACCTATGAAGCTAAACTCGAAAATTTTTAAGAAAATCGCACTGTAAAATGATGAAAACGGGAAAGTGGTCCGCTAAAATTTAACGAAAATTTGTGTTTTTAACAAAAATTTTGTCTCATGAGTTAAATCCACCCATGCTGGAAGACTGACAGGCGCTGTAGAGCTGTTTTCCCCCTTATTGAGAACCATCATCAATGCAAATTTCATGAAATTCCAGGGGGGAGTTTCGAACCCGCGACCTCCTGCGCAGTAGTTTGGACACGTGCGGCTGATGAGCACTGCAGTTAGCTCGCGTTCAAGCAAGATAAGGCACCACCATAGAATCCACATTACTTGGTCACGTGATCACTGGCTTTTCGAGTGACTAGTTTTAAAGTGAAAGTTTCACTCATCTTGTGAAATGATTCTTCCTCTGAGCTACGTTTTAGCTGAGGGTACTGTGAGTGAGTCGGTAATTCCCACTTCAGACAAGCTATGCTTGAACGCCTAAAATTTCCCACAGCGCTGTAGACATCAGAGATAAACCCAAAGTTTGTACATGTGAGAGTGACGCAGCCTAA